CCCGTAAGAGATCATTTTGAAATCATTGATTTGTCCAGACGTTCTTGGATAAAGATATCCATTTGCCTCTAATAGCTATGGGACAAACAAGAAATTGGTGGGTCTTCTGATGCACGTATTGTACTACAAGCTCTCAGAAGCAATGTTTAGGTGGGTTGCCGCAAATGTGAGAATGATGCACAAGTCATCAAAAACAGGAAAGCTTTCAGGCACATCCCAGATTGCCGATTATCTTTCATACCCTGAGAAAGTAGTGGAACTGCTTGAGTCTTACACCCTTGCCTTGGTTCCTCTGTAATTACATACAACAATGAATACTGTAAACTTCAGCACCAGTACAGATTTTGCTGGGGCAGCCATTCGAAGCATCTCCATACGTGGTTTCTTGTTAAACATTGCACAGTGAATCAACTTGACCAAACCCTGGCTAGGCCTTATGCGGACCCTTGCCGCCAATTTGCCGCCAATTTGACTCTTCTTCGGGTTGTAATTGGCCTCAATGCCTCTTTCAACACGTTTGCCTCGTGGCAAATTGTTATCAGCCCCACACTCAACAAGACCATCCATCCATGATACCTTTCTTATCCAGCCAGATGGCGTCACGGATAAGCTTTAAGTGTCTCGTAATAATGATTGTGTTTTGACGGAATTTTGCAAATTAAACCATGTTTTAGAGTAGATATTTTCTGTTATTTACGTTATGCATCGATAAATCGATCAACTGCAGATAGTTTTGTTTATGCCTCGACTGTATCACTATAAAAATTTCAGTTATGTGATAGTTAGATACAAGTAGAAAATATCATATATAATAGTCACACTTCCCAGTAATGGAAGATTCTGACCAGTAGTGTGAACACTCATTCAGCCACCAGATTGGATTTTATTTTTGAGGAAAGTCCTGGGACAAAAATTGAAACTATTTATTTTGCTTATCCAAATTGTTATTGAAGAAATGTTTTGGAAGGAAACTCAATTCATATTCAATAATCGTTTTGTTTAAGTGCATATGAAGGGGAATCAGTTTTTGAATACCTTGAAAGTTCAACATTTTAAGGACACCATTCCAAAGTTTGAACCGTGTTGGAAAAAAATTGGCGATTTTATAAAGCCTGAAAGTTGTGGGTGATTTTGCTCTCAAAAATGGTCTTCGAATCGCGCGGCCAAAATGTCAAGTCACAAGGACAGATGAGGTAGCGTTGTGGACAAGACTACAAGATTGCAATATGGCGTTGAGTGAGAAAGTACGCAGAGGATGGAGATATTGCATCGCTGGCACCCCTAATTATTATCAAAGTTGTACGAATTCTAGCAACACTCTAGGAATACGAATGCATCAGTTTCCCACCGATCCAGTTGAGGAACAAATGGGCGAAATTTATCTGAAAACATCGCCATGATTTTTGTGAGCCGGAGTCGAAGTAGTCCTGTATGTATGTAAGCTTATATATAATTTGTTTACCACAGAGCACCAAGGAGTTCACATGAACTCTTTCAGAAATGCCCGTGCATTCCCGGATCGAACTGGAATTTGGAAACGTTGGGTTTTGAGGAGAGGGGAAAACCGGAATACCTGGAGATAAACCTCTCGGAGCAGAGTAGAGAAACAACAACAAACTCAACCCAAATATGACGCCGGGAGCCCGGGACAAATATTGGTGGGAGGCGAGCACACTCACCCCTGTGCCATCCCTTCTCCCACTCTTTTCTGTTTGATTTTTGTGTTTCCATGAGATTCAGTCAGTCGCCGACGCCCCTTGTCGTTTCGCACGGAAAAAACACACACGATGGGAAAAGCTTTTGAACACCGGTAAACCCAAACATGTCGGAGTACTTAATATTCTTCATGAATCTTCGGATTGTTAACTGCAGGGATTGCTGTAATTTAAACTTTTCAGTGATGAATTATGTGTTTGTGTTCCGTTATTTCTTGTGAATCCTCACACTCCAGCAAGTCGCTGGTGCCGTTATATTCATATATTTTATTTCTACAATCTATTCTTTTTTTCGGGACAATACAAAAAAGTAAATAATAAATAACTGACTTGACTCGTGGTTGGTTCGTGTAACTCCACAGGCAGCCCAAGCTCTCTCTGTGAACCACACAAGCAACACAATATGGCATCGAATTACAAGGGTTTATATGGGATTTTCTACAAGATATCCTTGGAGGTAGTTAAAGTGAAAATTCTCAATAAAAATGGCTTACCTTGTTCCATACGTGTGTTGTTTGCTCCTGGTGTGGTTATTTTACCGATTGAACTTGATTTAAYTCGYKWTTRWWYAAWMRCGKTTTAAATCAAGTTCAATCGGTAAAATAACCACACCAGGAGCAAACAACACACGTATGGAACAAGGTAAGCCATTTTTATTGAGAATTTTCACTTTTAACTACCTCCAAGGATATCTTGTAGAAAATCCCATATAAACCCTTATAATTCGATGCCATATTGTGTTGCTTGTGTGGTTCATAAAGAGAGCTTGGGCTGCCTGTGGTAACACTACAACTCCCAGAGGGTAGGGCATTTGACACACTGAAATTGCCCCGAAAAGCCTGGCATTAGTTCACTATGGTAACAGCACTGCCTAATCCCCGCCTAATAATATACCCGGGTTGGGGGACGGGAGCTTTACATTGACTGTGCATGATGTGTCCATGGTATACCAGCATGTAATATAATGTATGGCTCATAGAGTCGGTCAGAGTTTGAAAAGGTTTAACATTAAACAACGTACTTTTGTTTGTAGATTTCTGCGTGGACTGTCAATTTCAAGTCTCATCTGCGGGGTATTACAAAATACAGCGAGGTTAGCGAAGTTGTGTCCCGTAAATTTGCCAAGCCTTTAATCGCACTGAGTGTAGTTTATCACATATTCAGAACTGGTTTTTCCGAAGTTATTGTGACACTGGACTCAATAGTCTTGCAGACACTAATTTATTTGGAGCCGCGTGTTTTCGTACCCGACAAAATGGCGATCATTCGAGTAAACAGTGTAAACGGTGAACAAGGACTTTGCTTGTTCAGAACAGTACGGGGAGTATCTATGCAAGTCCACTGAATTGTCTGAATATCCAAAACCGCAGCAGAATCTCACATTTGAACGTCGGAGGCTTCAATGTGGGAATTGCTTGCATTTCTCTCAGTTTGCCGAGACCGACTTTGTCCGCTTCATTTGCACGCAAAGCGACTACAAAACTTAACTACCTGAAAATGTAAAATAAGAAACTTTTCACCTTTCTTCCCTTCTCGGCTACCACCTCCTCTGTCCGCGAGGTCTCCGTTCGTCCAGTTCAGCTCTGTTTTCCTCCCTTTGCTTGCTTCACCACGCGATTGCGCCTCTTTGCCATCGAGACGTCACCATCAAATTTTCCCGGGACAATATTTGCCCGGGGGGGGGGGGTACTCCCCTATATGAGTCGTTAGTCGCCGTTCAAGCTATTTTGAGTTTTTGCTCTTCCCTTGCATAGGGTGTCATTTTTCGGGTTTGGACCTTAAATAGGGTATCAATTTTCGTTTGATTCATCCTTCAATAGGGTCAGGGTTTAAGACCCTTCGCGGCACACACCTATCCGAAATTTATGGGAGTACCCCCCCCCGGAATATTTGTTTGTTACAGAGAGAACAAAGACCAGTGTGGAAACAAAAGGCCCGTGTCACTTGTGAACCAAACAACTGTTTAACGCTAAATAAACAGGAGCTCATTTTTAATTCCGGCTTTTTAGGAGTACAATTCGATACGACTCATTCTGACCCGAACCTTATTGACAATTTTAAATTCCTGTGATTTATACCTATTTGCTTTAATATTCTCGGAAAGTTAGCATTTATGTATGATAGTTTTTAATAGGGTCACGCGACTTTGGACGCGTGGACGCGAGGCAAAAAAATGTGTCATAAATTGCAAACAAAATTTCGAGATCGATCAATTGAAAACGCGATCTAAAAGTAAAGGTTTTGCTCTTTTCGTGAACGATATTAGACTAGAGAACCCTTGTAATAAAACCAATTGAAAGGCTGACTGGACGGCTGAAAAGGGTAAATTCAATGCCCAATATTTCGGTTAGACAGGACTAACCTTCTTCAGGGGCTACACTGAAGCTAAGTAGATACGGATAAAATGGTTACAAAATTTAAATGATACTCGAGGAAATATGTGACATGATTGGTAGACAAAATAGAGGAAAAGGGAACGTGTACTAAAGCCGATACATAAAAAAATAAATAGATTAACTTTCGTTACGCCTGTTTAACACAGAAGGTTCAAGGGTCTTGCCCCGCTTGGAGATAGCAAAATGCTTCTCTTGCCTTGCGAATAGCGTCCCTATTTGAGTTGATGAATTCGAGAGGAACGAGTTCTATGTTGTCCATAGAATGGGCAGGAAGGGTAAAGTGATCTAAAACGGCGGTGGGTTGATCAATGTGTCGTTTGATGGCCTTTTCGATTACGCGTCTGTGCTCACCAAATCTGTCGCTGAGATGAGGTTTAGTCTCGCCTATGTATTGAACATTGCATTTGTTGCACTGTATCATATAAACCAGATTGGAAGAAGAGCAGGTCATGTGATGTCGTATTCGTCTTTGTTCGTTGGTAGAAAAAAGTATGAGACGTGGTTCCCTGTGCAATGAAAGGACACGTTTTGCACCGATTTCTGTCACAACGGAAAGCTTCCGGAGCCGAAGGGGTGGGTTCTCTGCGGTGTTTGGCCCTAGCTAGCATAGGGCCAATACGTGTAGTACGTCACGTAGGCAACGGCAGTATGATATACGATGAGAAGAAAATGCTACTAGGTATCGTTGTGAAGAACGAAAAATGTTAAGGTTGCTGGAAATGACTTGACGTATATTGTAGTAACATTTAATCCAGCTCTACCGAATATACCTCAAGTCATTTCCAGCAACCTCAACATTCGTCTTGTCCTTTCATTAGAGGCCCCCCCCCCCCCCATCGGAGACAGAGCGTGATACACCAAAAACTTCCCAGAACACGTAAATCTCGTCTTTGCGTTATGTACTTCAAAGTTTATTCAGGTGCAGCAAATAGACATAGTTTTCAGAATTACTGAATTCGCTCCTTTCTTTCAATTATTTTTCGTGAGGGCAAAATACTAAATCTGGAAAGATTTTCCCGTTTTTCTAAACGCCTATTAAGTTACGCAATTTGAAAACGAGACGCTTTGTCTTTACTTTGCAACTAAGAAGTACCGTCTAGGCTAAACAAAACCTCTCCCATTTTTTGCAATCTGTACAGAATTTCCTAAGCCCTTAAGTTCCTATTTACCACTAATAAGCGAGGAGCACAGAACGAGAAATGAAGAGTTCACATTACGAAGCCTTCTTTTAAATATTTACGCAAGTGTCCAGTGCGAGTTCAAAGTTTTCGTCACTAAAACAAAAAGAACATCTGATAAGCACTACTTAACAACTTTGCAGTTGATAAAAGCCTATGATACTAACCTTAACCATACAGTGCGTATTCAAATACGCACGAACTGGAACTTATTAGCTAAATTGATCAGGACATAAAAAAAATAATACTACGTAAACTTTCCAGGAAATTCAAACTACTGTGGGTTATTCGTACAACAAACACAGCAGATTTCATATATAGCGAAGTTATTCACTAACTTGCATGATAAAACTTTTGTCGTACAATATTGGCAGCAACTAAAAGGAGTCTTGGTTGTTGAATGAAGTTCAGTCAAAATCTGTGTCCATCTTTGCAATTCTCAGGTCTTCCTTGTTCAACTTTAGTTTATGACTTAAGTAAGCGTTTTTGTACTTCGCCTACTTGGCATTTGAGGTTCCTTCTTGTGGAATGATATTTTAACAACAGAAAAGATGAAGATAGCACGATGTAGCCTTTTAGTCCAATAAAGTTTCACCCCGACACGGTCAGCTCCAACACCAAGCGTAACTCCAATTCCATGCCACTCATTTATTCACGTGACATCTAATCTCCTCTATTCTGGTAACTTCACCGGCTGTCGGCGAGTATCTCCTTATAACAGACTCAGAACGTGATTTCCACATCGGAAACTGTTGGTTTTTGTGGAAAATCCATTCAGAATCCGTGGCTCTGTGACTTCCACTAAGGAATCCTCTTAACCTGTCAGCTCAACATATATGTAAACGGTAGTGTCGGACAATAAAACTTCTTTGTTCATGATCAAGGCGTTACTCTTTCAGCGGAAAAACAGCACTTCACAGCGTCACTGAAAAGCCAACTGGCATGTGATATTTTGGCAGCTATTGAAGTGTCAACTCGGACCCTTCGACGAATCAGCATTGCACTGAACGCTTGGTGGACCAAACGTTGTAATAAAATATTTGTCTAAATGAATCCTTGTTGTTGTTTAGTCACTTTCCTCATCACTGTCCTCTTCTCCTTCCTTGTGATCAGGAGGTGGCTCAAGCTTGGCGAGTTCCTGTTTCAGTAGCTCAGTATTTTGTTTCAGTGACTGCACGTGATGTGATATGGCACGGCCAACTGGCCTCCCTGATAACAAGCTTTCCGTGTCTTTGATCCATCGTTCGCACTGCTCAAGGATTTCATCCTTCTTCAGGTAAAAGTGAGCTTGGATAACCTAAACAAGCGAGTGGAATTAATACAAAAGTACCTGGAACGTTATATTCTAGGAACAGGACATAGCAAATCCCCACACGGGTTACAGTTTGGATGCTTCCGACCACACCGAACACGAAAGGAGTGAAACTATATATTGGAGTTGTTCTTGAGCGAACGGAAACTTGAATTAACGTTCTCTCATAGCATAAAAACATGTTTAGCATCTGGTAGGGTACAGGAATGGTCGGAAATGTTCGGATGACATTCGGAAACTTCGGACGACCATCAAAAATCGTTAGGGATTTCGGGATCCTCCGAAACTAACTTCCTTTGTAGTCGTACCACAACTTTATCACCTGAAAGCTGCTCCAACCCTTTATTGAGAAGTGTTTCACTGTCTTACTTAACTTGCAAACTAACCTGTTTGAAGCATGGTGACGGCTTCCTTAACTGTTCCAACATGGCCCACCGTACAGTGGCTTGGCAAATGTTCGCATCGTACTCCCGCGAGTTCTGCTGGCCAGCGGGTGTCCCTCTGGATCTCTCATATCCTGGCTCATTGAAGTAAGGCTCGTGAACCAGAATGAGCGACTGAATTGATACCAAGACCTAGGAGTTGAAAGAAACAGTTTAGAGAAAACGATGTACGCCTAACTGGGTAGAGGATCGCTCGCTCTGATAATAGGGTGGCCCACTTATTTCCCATGTAAACAATGGCTACTTGTGACTCGTCTACCAGGATCAGGTAGGCGAGTCAAACTAACTTTCCGTCGCTAGGTTTGATTTTAGAAAATTGCTTTAAACATTGCTAATGTTATATTTGTGTGTTTGATGATGTGTAAATAGTGTACATGTTAGTATTTATTGACCATATTGTACCTCCGTTGTAAACACCCCTGACATTTCTAGCTTTTTAGTTATTTCACGGTGCTGGTACCTTTAATTATTATAATTGATATCTGCTTGTAACTTATCTAAAGACATTTCTGGAGGGTACAATAAATTTTGCTGCTGTTGTTGTTGTTGGTGTTGTCAGGTTTAGCATACAAGGCATACACCCTTAAGTGCCTGCCAATAATTGGCCCTCACAGTTAAGACAGCGAGGGTCAATTATTACCTCAGTTAGCAGGGAAAGCTTTTCTTTTAGAAAAGCTTGGTAAAAATGGCTCCAGGTGGAATAACCCTCATACCAAGGACAAAAATAAACAAATAATTTTTCTACCTAAAACAGCTCTTAAGCCAGGAGCTGGGAAAAGCACAATTGTTTACCTGAAGGAAGCTCGAATTCTGTGGATTCCATTTCTCCTCTGGTCTGCCGTGCCATGTGTTCAAAATACTAAGGCACACCTGTTTATAAAACATCGCAATAAGCTCAGTTAAAACTTATGTATTTTCATCAGATTTCTTTTCAAACGGTAAGGAAATTTATAACATACCAATGGTTTGCAGTAAGTCACTACATCTACGGAACGAGTATTTATCACTGCTACCTTTTTCGTAGCATTAAGGGGATTTTCCACAATATATGCCAATGACATTCCGATTCGCGGTCGTCTCATTTTGTCAATCAGTTGTACCATAACCGCCTGAATTGCACTCCACTCAGTCATATTATCACAATATATTAGGTGCCTTAGTTACGAAACATGAATGGCACATGGAAGATGATCTTTTCATATCACGTTACAGAACTGGACTGATTTTCATTCAAAATTAATTGTGACGTTATTTTCTAAAACCTTTGCTAAATTGCAAATAGGAGTGATAATGAAGCAGGTGGAGGCAGTTTCTTACCTTTCCATCATTGTAGAGGTTTGGATTGAATCGAATGCTGTGATGACCAGTTGTCTCAAAGTTGATGTACATTGGAGACTCCGGATAGTTCTGCGGAAAATACACATCAAACTCGAAACACCCGTTCGCGTAAGGAGTGTCTGATGGACCTGTAATAAGAACCTAATGAACAAACAGAAGAGCCTTAGATTGTCAGCCTAAACTATGAAAACTATGAAACCAGTAGAATCCTCCTTAGGAAAAAAGATGGCGACTGGTACATTGGTACGTAGCAGTAGTTAGTAGCGCACAAAAACTTGATCGCTCGCAAAAATGTACAAAAAAAGTTCTAAAATCCTCAAACCTACCATACATAATGCCGCTAACACAGGAACAATTATTGCAAAAATTATGGCTTTCCTTGTTCTTTATGGTCCGCGTAAAGCTCGCATGGTATTGTGGTAAAATGTACAGCCGCCATCTTTTTTTCCTTCGGAGGATTTGCCTGCATGCTCATTAAAATGATCATGTTACAGTTTTATAAATAATGATCAGGCTTTGAAGAAGAGGCGATTATAAAGTTGTCTTTGTTTTACAACTTCACTGTTTATCATACGCAACGTTTTTGATATCATGTTAACCAGTTTCCAATCTCCATCACCCACCGGTGAACTCAAATCTCATTTTCTTAACGAGGCTGGCTAATTTCAAAGCCCTGTTCCAATGGCCTACTTAGGCAAACCTATGAAACAGACTGTTCTTGTCAAGAACTCTGCTTTTCTCCGCAAGAGACACCTGAGATTCCCCCAAATTAATACAGTGTCAAATATAATAGAAATAATACAAAGATTCGTGAATACCTTCATGACATCCAATCGCTCTTTATCACAGCGAACAAACACACTCGAGCTGCTAGAGAGCGGAAGTGAAGTAGCAAGTGACGACACTTCCTGCGCCAATCGCCTGGCTCGAACCATGCCTCCACTACCACCACCAGTAGCCGCTGAACGTATTGAAGACGCAAAGTGGTAGCCACCAGAATCAAACTCCAGTTTTCCGTCATCTTTCTCTATCACAATTCTGTGAGTGCCTGTATACATTGAACAGTGAACAAATTAGGACTCTAGACGAAACACAGACATGCTCTACCAGACGCATATTAACGAGCAAAACTCAAGTTATTAATCATTTTGATTTGGTCCTAGAATTAGAAGAAAACAAAGCAGGCATAAAAGCTTCCGTCGGAGCAATTCCACCTGGTCAGACATTTTAAAGTCAGGGCGGAGGACACCCAGGCCCAAATCAGTCAATAGCCGTCAATAAGACCTTTGCAACTGGAAGTTATGGGGCTTCTACAGGGAGGTGGTACAACGTAAAGGACTACCAGAAGTAGATGTATAATATGACATTAGTAAGACAGTCTTCCAAACATACTTAAACTACCTCCAAAAATACAATTGACAACAGCAGCATAACGGTAGGACTGCATTTAGGGAAGTGTAGGTGCAAAGGGAGGACAGGACAGGGAGGAAAATACTGAAAGAAACCCTTGCGTTTAATGCCAACAGCATTTTTAAAACTCAACCGAAGACTTAGTAAACCTAATCACAGACCGAATGTCACTTGCCTCACAGGCGACTGGCATTTCAGGATATCAATTGCTATGGTCGACACTCACCAAACTGCAGTGATTTCATTTTGGCCAAGTACCTCTCCTCGGCAGAGAGAGAAGCAGCCTCCTCCGTGGGTTTATTTCCGTCTCCTTCTGTCATCTTGCTACAGCTGGCGTGCTGCTGCTGCTGTTGGTGGAATTGGTGCACCACCTTCTGCATCAGCTTGGCTGTTTCCTGGATGTCAGGTATGAGCTGTGCGAGTCCTTCCGCTTCCTGGTCCTTCTTGTCTTCTGTCGCACCCTGACCTGATGAACTAGCACGTGGTACCCCTGACGTACTAGTTCCAGCTGAGGTACCTGATTCTGCTGTAGTACTTGGCGCCCCTGCTGTGCTACTTGATCCTGTCGAGGTACTTGGTTGTGCAGTGGTACTTGGTCCACCTGAGTTGTTTGGAACAGGAGAATCTTCTTTTTTACCTTGAGTTGACCTGATTGACAACACACAAGACCAAATAGTCAGCACTGTTTATCTTTTCTCAACATTTACCATGGCAACATTAAGCCCTTCTGTCCAACTTGTGATGAATGTGGAAAGTGACATACTCATTTTCTGACGAAATCTCAGCTACATAACAAATTAAGACCATCTTCTAATGTAATAGATTCTCTTTGAAAGTTTCTCTCGTTAAATTAAACTAGACCGCTTAGTAGACGTTTCCTAGCAGACATGCTTAAAATAATTACTAGAAATATTATATTATTAGTCACACTCTGGCGTTACATCCACAGACGTAACTTAGGACTATCTCGTACAGCAAAATTAACAGCACCACATGAAACAACAGCTCAATACTTTATTTCAATGGTCACACGCAAGGGTTTCATTCACAAACTTAAAAGTTAGAATAACGTTGTACAGGTTTTCATTTGAATGGTCACAAACTTCGATTTAATCCATAGACCTTAAGTTAGTACTACCAAGTACAGCATTCCAAACAGTACTACACGAAAGCACGGATCACCTGCTTCAACAGACTTTTCCCGCCTTCCAACAAACAATGGTGCCGAGTCAAGGTCTGGGATGACATAAATACAGCAAATGTATGAAAATGTCTTCCGCAACCTCGCTCTGGTACTAATGTTCGTACGCACTGAAGTGGAACGGGAAAGGTCTATTTGGTCAAAGAGATTTCAAGGCCTACCGGTATATATTTTTTTTAAAGAGATGAAAAGATCTTACCGTAAAGTTTTAGAGTAAGTGTCCACACACTGCTTCATCTTGTCCAAAAGGCTGACTATAGAAGGTGCCTCTTTTGAAGCTCTTTCTTGTTGGTTCGGGGAGTATCCACTTGAACGGGGAAGTAACAAAGGTAAAAGGACTGGGCACAAAGCAACCGCTCGGAGGACTTCGAGTACAGCCTGGTACAGAGGAACATGGCGGGCCATGTCCAGAACTAGCAAGAGAAGGAGCCAAATGGTGTGACGTTACATTCAATGCTCGCTACCACTGTATTTAAGACTAAACCAACAATTTAACCGTATATTTTGAAAACCGCAATTTGTATGGCACGTTTGAGAATTTCTTCATTTACCAAAGCCTAACGAAAAGTGATGTAATGGTCCTTTCCGCAGACTTCGTAAAGTAATGATCCTTCAAATTGTACTTCACCTTTCAGAAATATGAATTTAACATAAGAAAGGGACCAATGAATATGAAAGAGGTTCGTAGATAACACATTCTGATGTTGAAGTTAAATGTGTTTTATTACTGAGCAAAAAGTTAAATAAAAACTTCCAATACCTGTAAACACAAAGATTGCTGTATTATTACAGGTACGGAACATGTGAGTTCTACCAAATCGAAACAAAGTTGTAGGTTTACAACAGCTGGAAGTAAAACTGAATCAGAAATTTAAAAAACGTTTTCATCAAACTGCTTAAGTTATACATAAGGATAAATACCGGAGTCATTCCTTAAGTAGGATGAGAGAGCAGGAATCAGGCACGATTCCTCCAATAGCTCCAGTAGCACTACAACAAGGGGGTGGGTCCCATCAGTGCTTGACTGGGAATAATCGGTAAATGGTGCTTTGTGCGAGTCGCTCCGTTGTCCAAAAGGCTTGATGTAGCTGGCAAGGACCTAGAACACAATCACATGTCAAGAGAGAGGCATTTTTTACTCAGTGGTCATATAATTATGCAAGCTCTTGTCAGCTGAACCCTCTGACCTGGCCAGGTGTTCGTCCATTGTGTCGCACTTGAACGAAAACTTGTGGTGAGCCTTGCGCAAGATACATTACTCACAGACTGTGTTACACTGAATCTTTCCAGTCAGGAATTTTAACTGTATTGCCAACTTACTGCGCAAACCTACCGTAGTGCTAGGGGACCTGCAATAGGTCATAATCCCATTCAGACGGAATCCTCTGCGATACCTGTAGTCACTTTATGCAACAGAAACCAAAGGTTGCCAAAAGCCTGTTGAGCCCAAATGCTCGAAAAAGGAATATATTCAGGGAGTATAATTCCTATATACTCCTACTCCTTTGATCGACTGACAATATTAGGCTAAGAAACATGATACAAAGTACCCTTAACCTTCCCCAGGGTAAATACAGTGCGAGCGACAATCAAGGCTTGGGGAGGAAGAATACTACAGAGAGATGCCTGAAATGACTGAAATAATTGTAAATAATACACTAAAAACCATTCGGCTTTACAATCAATTACCAGACAGCGCCTCAGAGTTTGTCTGACCATGACCGCTGGCTGCACATTGGTGCCCGACCAGGTGGTGGTGAGCTTAAATTGGCGACACCTTGACATTAACATAAGGAGATGGTTTGTATGAAGCTCTCTTGTGGTACGTTCAACTCCACTCACCTGCAGAAGACACGTTACATGCTCCTCTTCGGCCTTCTGTTTCAACATAGCTTGCTCGACGTCCCAGCCAGACGATGTGGAACCTGTACCAAAACCAGTTCCTTTGGCCCAGTAGCTCCTCTCATTGCCCGCTCCAATATCATTGTCACGACACACGCTGGAGTAAGACAGATTCACATGAGAACTACAAATGGTTGTGAAAGTAGCGGTGCATAATGTCATAGTACTGTGCCTGTGCTGTATACATCGGGGCTTCTCTATATTTCATGTGTCATATTCTAGAGTAACATTATCATAACAGTTGTGATTATCATGCATGCTTATGCGGAACTCTAACGATACAAAATCCATCCGCTTGCAACAGGAAAAAAAACTACTTTCAGAGTAAAATCGTGACCCCATTTTTCCTCCTAGTAATCACAGCTATTTTGTTCTGTTAGAATCTCTATTAACCACCTCCAATCTCGCTCTCTCCACCTCCCCACCTATTTAAAACATCAATTTGCAATTACCACCACTCAAAACGTTACACCTTATGCACTGATCATGAAGAGTTTGTATGAAATGAAATACAAAATCTGCAGTGTTACTTCTTAAAAATAAAGATAAGAACTTTATTAACGTGTCGAAGTCGCTAGCAAACAATGTATACTAATCGGAGACACCTAACTACGATTACCTATCTAATAGTTAATACGATTACTTATCTAATAGTTATTCTTGTCTAGGTTTATAAAGCAATGACCAGTTCTGGCAAAATGATTACTCCTTGTAGTTTTTATATACAACCTAGCTAAGGTGCAGCCCGACTTGAAAAAACGATTTTGGTGAAACGATGCAGCATATCTTCAAGTTTTCACAGTACCTTCCAGTCAATGCAGACAGAGCTTGTAAGGCCAGTTTGTGAGAGTGGCTAGTAGCTCGAGGCTTGTGATGACTTAGCACAGCAAGACACAGTAAGACCATCTGGATGGCACCAACTTCCATGGCTGCCCTATGCACTGCTACACCTTCCTGTGGCACAAGTTCGCTGACTTGGAACAAGGTGCGTAGTACCCGGAATGGTAATGTCGACAGACTGCTGGCTACTGGCGATGACAAGATAGCTTCTGGAAAAAAGAAAAACACAATCACCTTGTTAGAATGGTAAGCGATGTTCATGTCAAATGGTCGTTGGTCCTGAAATATTATGTTAAAGGGATGGTTTCACGGCTTGATGCCGGCGCAAGCTTGATCGTACCTCTTTAAGTAAATCAGTTTAATAAAAAAGTGGTTTGATCTCTACATATCGACTATATGTCCAGTTCATTTTGTATTCTTTGTAATATTCTGGATATACTACTGTTGGGCAATATTCGGAGGCCAAGCCTAACATATTTATATCATTTTTCTATCCTATATGTTGCAGTTCTGGACAAGTAAGAAGAGCACCCATGAACTTTGAAGGTACAGCATAAGTTTTATCTGGTAGCGTGACACTAATTGTCTCTTTTTTTCTAGGTTAGTAGACTAAAAGGTCCTAAAACACGTCACTGGCTTACTGGCTCCACCAAGCCAGGTATTAGGACTTAAAACTAACAAAGAGGGCTTTTTTTGTGTGCCTTTCTTCCACCTGTCTGTGGCTCTTGCATGTAATCAGTATCTACACCAAGGGTTTGACTGACCATTTACTACAATAGCAGAATGCCTTACAATATGAGTGATCTAAATATCTGCTCGTACACAGGCGTTTCTTGATTTACTTATATACTGTCAAAAAGACATCAGTCATTCCTACCTCCATCGCCATCTTGTTTGGCACCCAGGAGCAACCTCAAAAGATAGCGAGCTCTCAAATTATCCTGAAGCAGCACTTCGTAATACCCAGGAAGACGAATGAACAAACCAAATGCTACCAGCGAATGTGCTGGAACTGTGCTAAGGACTGAAGCAGGTAGAGAGACCAAGGGCAGTGGAAGCTGGGTTGGGTATGAGGGTAACCGGTCCTCAGTGTTGTCTGCCTCAGTGCCTCCACCTTCAGTATCAGGGGTCAGAGAAGAAGGCATGATGATGTGGCAAGGTAAATGCACTGACAACTGGGCAAGTCCATCATGCTTTGCAAACACATCAAGGGGGCTCAACAATGGTGCAGCATTCGAAAATCCATTCTGTAGACTCCCTTTGCCCTGTGTTTTACCGGTAAGTTCAATATAAGAGCTTCCACAAGGTAAGCCTCTGTTCATTAGAGTCTGCAGCAATTGAGCCAAAGTCACAGTTTGTGGCACATCGCCGACCAGCTCATGGTAAAACGAGCATGACAAGTTATGTCTCTGATTTTGATTCCGAACAGTAGCAGGATTATTTTCCTTTGTTGCTGACGATTCATTCTTTTCAGCTCTCTTGCTTTTCACGTTCAATCCTGCAGCAAGACTAACTGATTCCAGGAATTCGAATCCTTCATAGCCAAAATCACTTGGGTCAGCTATCCCTTCCATTGGATGCTTGGTAACCTTTTCCTCCGGGGGTGTCTCGACTGGTTTGTCTGGTTTTGGAAGTAAAATTTGTTCACTAAGATTCTCAAGACTGGAGGACAACTTAGCAGTGAGTAACATAAATGAGTGTCCTGCACCAAAGCGAGGATGCCAACCTTGCTTGTGAAAGAAATCAAATCCTTTAAACGTCTGTAAATTCAAATCATTCTCAATATGCAAACAAATAGGAATGGTTTCCTCCTCCAGCAACATCTGTAAGATCAACTGTCGTATGAAGCCACTGACATGTGAGGTAACCTTGGGTTTCGATGACAAATCAGATGCATTCGATGAGGGGTGCCCTCCAATGGTCTCAACCAGGAGCCACGCCATTTTCTCTTGATTCTTGGGATGGAAATGAACACAGTTGCATAAAAGTTCCACTGTCGCAGTCTCCACAGCAAAACTGGTGTATCTAGAAATGGAAGATGCTATGCCTGGTGTGCTAAATAGTGAGCTGGTGTAAACGCCTGGTCCTGCACAGAGCTTAGACAGAAGCAGAAACCAAAACTGGTAGCCGCCTTCGCCCATCCAATCCTTGATGGCTGGCTCTTTGCAACAACATGTCAGAAAACTTAAAAGGTGTTGAAGATGATTAATGGGCACACAGTTTCTCTTCTGGGAGAGACTTTTCTGACTTATACTTGAAGATGCATCTTTGCCTAGATCTTGTGAATGACAAGCTGAGTGACAAAAGTCCACGATACCTTGCACCATCAGTTCAAGTAAACCAGAATTCAGAAGTATTTGACTTGTAACGTCAGATTGGCTTGCTGTTGCAAGTGTTGCAAGCCGTGATGGGGAAGACAAAAGGCTTGATAATGTTCCACCAGCATCAGCGCTTTTTTTGCGATGGTGGTTGAGCACTTCCCTTGTTCCAGTCAACTCTAAAAGCACTTCATAATACGTTGGACAAATAAATGAAAGAGCTCCTATGAGGTGGTCAATGCTTTGTTTCACAGTATCCTGGTCGGATATATTTTGTGACCAATCATAGAGAGACCTAAAAAGGGAAAGTTCAAGAGCAACACGAATAAACAATCACGCAGCGTCACAGCTATTACTCGTTAAGCCCATTACTCCACAAAATTATTTATCTATCCCATTTCTTCTACCTGTACTCCTTTCTGAGAGGAGAGACTGCAAGAGAAGTATATCTTGTCGAAAGAAGACAACATAAGAAGAATAGCCATACCCAATTTAAATCAGCAATTTGAATATGGCAATATCATCACAGAAACTATGGCAAAAGGGTTTAAATAGCGTAGGTAGATTTCCTTATCGTTGGTAACATAGTATAAGTTCTTAGTTGCATTACATAAAGAAAATGTCTTAAACACAATTGAACAAGTGGTATGTTTTTCATCACTGCAAAATCGAACTGGAACACACCTAAAGAGCCCTTCTGAAAAATGTTGACTAACAGTAGATTCTGAATCGGTTTCCTTTGCATGCCAGATGACTGCAGCTATAGCCTGGATGTGACCGGGTGCCGTCTGTATCAAGGCTGATGAATTGCATATGGATCCTAACCAAGATGACATAACTGACAACCTGCAAAACAAGGAAAAGCTTCAATCACAAATATATGGAGATTGACCTCCTCACTAGTCAACACAGTGAAAATCATTGTGCCTTTTTGAACAAGAACAAGGATTGCAATTAATTTAAAGTGCCACTGAAGCGAAATTTTCGTACTCTCTTTTATTAGCTCAATTTGTANGACACGACACTTTGCAAAGAGACAAACATGCTTTGGTTACCTAAACTATTTTCAGTGGACAAATAAAGCCTGAAAAAAATTCACTACATCCTAGTAAAATACCTGATTCTACCTATGGTAATTATAGCGAGGTGTAGCAACAATTGGAAGGAGTGCACGTTACGTCCTAAATCAGAAATGTCTTGATGGAATACACTATTAATAATCTACATGGCATCACGTCTACACCAAAACAACTTTAATCCAACAAAGTATCAACAGTCAGCTTAGCTCAATGGCGAATTAACAAATTGATGTCAGTTTTTTATGCGTCTATCCTCTTATTGATGATAAATTGCGTCATAACGTTGTCAAAGTGGCTGTGGAACCACGACGAAATTTATCATCAACAAGAGGACAGACGCATAAAAAACTGACGTCAATTTGGTTTTTACAATAGCAAGACCCCAAAATGGTCAAATGCCGAGCATAAATGAGGGGAAAAGATGCCATAAACTTGCCGTAAACAAAGATAAGTGAATTTTATTCAAAATGACGCGAACATTGTCAATAGCTTTTCTTGCTTTTTGATTGGCTGCTTAAAAAAGTCCATAAAGTCTCATTGATTAAAAAGTTGATAGTTTGACAACTGAACGTTGAACGTGAAAGCTTGCATATATTAAAATTTTAACCGTCTGTACTCTTATTGATGATAAAAATGAGCCAATCAGCGCGCGAGAAATTAGACAGTCATTGTAAAAACAGTTATAACACATCTGGCGATACCTGTCTTGATACGAAGAATCCTGTTTCTTCCCAAGTTGATAGATTAGTTCCACTGTGGCTACGTTCACAACTGGTCCTCTCATTCTTTCCTTGTCACTTGGACATTTAAGAAGCTGCTTAATTAACATCGTCCCCAGCTCTGGAAACTGCACGGATAACTTCATGAGCACCAGTTCTAGACAAGCAGACCATCCCTCACTGAGAAGATAAGAAATCAAAGGGACAAATCTGTGATGGGACTAAACTCAGTAGCGCAATTGCAAAATTCAGATTTTCAGTGATCCAAGACTAATTGAATGCAGGTGCAGATAAAGAACACTTTGATAACACCAATTTTTAATACCTAGGATTGCACATTAACTTATCGGAACTGTAGCTGAAGAAGAACGGAACCACATCTTCTGGTTTAAATCTCAAAGAAAAGGATTACTTTCTTTGTCCATGACACTTATCAATCTCTACAATCCCTTTGGTACAAATTAAGAACTGCCATCATCCAGGTAGATTGCGAAAGCAATTCACTGGTGTTTTATGAAATAGAGCGAAGGCCAGGAAAAATGCATCAGCAGGGAGATCTGGTACCCCAACTACAAATCCCACCACTTTTTGCAAACACTGGAGTGAGACTTTACCTTTGTGGTGATAACAGCAACCTGACACAAGTGCTAAATACATCTGAGAGCAGTGTTGAGGGATCCTTTGTCTCCTGATACAAGTTGGCTCCTTGGGAGAGGCACTGACCCAGTAACTGAATCCAACCAAGACTGAGGAAAACACCACGACTTGCTTTAGAATATGACTTGCTCTCACAAGCTAGAGTTTCATTTGCTATTCAGGCGGATGAAACGGGCTTTTTTTCTTTTTTTAAAATGAACGTAAAATCAGGTATTCATATTAATAGACTGGTAGGGCAGATAAGGGCTTCATTGCATACAAGAACAAAAAGTCAAAGGAAATAAATCTCACTCCCAGAAGTGATTGATTTTCTGTCAGTAACTGTATTGATGAATTGTTGTAATGACTGTTACAATTTATTGTCAGGACACGGCACTCCAGGTCAGAATATACTTATGAATGTCTGCACCCGTTCGTGCCCTTCATATCATTTATATGTCATGCTGATTGACAGAAGCTGGTAATGGATTACGTCTAATACATCAATGCTAAGGTAGCTGAAGCACAAAATGACAAATCTGTGTAGTTTCCATTGTTTCTTTATTCCCATGAGAGACTTCGAAATCCAGACAAACATGTCGGGTAAGCATCAAATCTCTCCAAACGTTCTTAAACACAGCTGCATGTAGGCACAGGTACTTTCTCTTGATCCCACAATTGCTCATAGTTAGCAAGTGAATATAATGACGGCACTAACCATTTTGACTGAAAAACTAAGTTACCAAAAAGAAAATTAGAAAGCTGTAAGGAAAAGTGTCGATCTTGAGCCCAGTAATATTGTTATTTACTTCACATGTAAAATCCCCTTTTAAACATTCAGGTATTTCTTTGTGTTTACCTAACTGCTTGACCCTTCAAGGTTTGGAGTTCTTGGTTCACTAAGCTCTGAGATCCATGCAGTGATGTTCCCATAACCTTGATCTGTGACAGCCCCAAGACACGAGAGTCCCGTGGACAATGACAGTGAATGTGGACATGCTGCAGAGGATAAAAATAGAAATGTACAAGAGATTAGAAACATGGCTGGATTTGCCAGCCATGGGAGCAGTCTCCATCTAGAAGCTGGTTACCAATAGGGGAAGCTCCAGGATGTCTCAGGCATCCAACCTCCATTTAGCGATACAATTGTTAAAGGAAAACGACTAAGACGTCAACATAGAAAAAGATATCCTACCTGGGCTACTTTAGTTTGTTCAAGTTTAAGCTTGATAACTGTAATTCCAGTGGTGAGAACTGGTTCACAAACGGGAACAAGGACGTGACTATCATTACTGATATCAAGTGACACATGTGACGGGCATGCTGAAAAGATAGTAACGAGAAGCTTTACCCGGAGTACAAAAAAGAGACTACGGCTTAAGGGATACATATCACCTAAATCAACAGCCAACAGGCTAGAAACTTTGTAAATCGAAATGCATTTGTAGGTATTATCCACATCGGGTTTAGGGAACTTGGGTTAAAAATCCCTAGTAACTGGGCTAGTAACTTTGCAATGTAAAGCTTAAACTTAAGTTGCGCATGGGCCACTGGCCAACAAGGCACGATCTCATCCCAGTATCCGTAGGATGAGGTGACTAGGAGCATCACTAGTCCCCGTGAATGGGCTCCTACTCCAATGGAATTTCCCAAGGATCACTAGTACCCATTTTATATTCTAGGTCAAGAGGAAGAGTGTAGGGTAAGGTGTCCTACCCTAGAACATGTCACAACGATGCAAAGCTCAAAACCAGGTTTCTTTATTCAGAAATCAAAATCGTACAATTATTAGAACAGTCAAGCCCCACAAATTTGGACAACAAAGGGACCACAGAAAGTGTTTTAATTAAACAGTTGTATAGTGTGAGTGACATCAGTTACATGGAGTATGGAATCCCAAAGCAGGCAAATAAACAAGATGAGCACTTACTTGAAAGGCCCGTGGAATGTGGCTGAATGTGCACCTCATGTAACAAGATGGCTGTGGGAAGACTAACAACCAACTCACACCATTCCTCATTGGCAGGAAATCTGAATGACCATGCTGCAGACCGAGCACGACGATGCTGAGCTGTGGCTTTCAACAGGGCATCAGGAGGATGCCTGGGTGAGGAAGTGCAGTGAATACTTCCTGCAAAACAGAGGACAAACAACAATGCGAAAAATTCCTTTCACAAACATAGAATCACCATAAGTTGAATGCAACATGCACATCTGTTCAGACTATAAAAACCAAGAACCAAGAAAAAAAAATGCAACAACTGACCATATGGGGCAAAGTTGATCATTCGTTTGGTCCAATCGTTCTCTCCAGTAGCTGTTAAACCCCTGCTGGGTTCACTCCTGCTAGCCCTACTTGTCAACTCTTGCATAACAGAGAGAAGACCATGGGATGTATGGTCCAGGGAAGTTGCCTGCCCTGCTACAATTGCCTTACACACAATGTCAAGACCACCTAAGTGAATGAATAATACATGTAAAATGAATAACAGTGGTAAAATAAGGAAGGGAAAGCCCGCATCTCATCCACACAAAGTGGAAATACCTTCCCCATGGCTACAAATACTGCTATCCACTTTATCTACACCTGACGAGGCGTGCATATTGAAAATAAATAATCTCTTTTAAAGGTGCCCTGACTTCCTGGAAATTTAAATTCATGCACACTCTTGCTGCAAGACAGTTCCAGTTTAATACCAAGAATAGGAATATGGGTTATTATGCTCCAACTGGGAAATTCTTAGAAAATCTTCATGAGATTCACTATCCAGAGCCAAGATTTGATTTGCAAATACTTCAGTCAGTAGCAACTGACAGGTTAGCAATAGTGCAGGTGTAATACTTGCAGTGGGTGACAACGTTTTCACCACTCCATGTCCATAGTTTACAAACTCACTCAGGAATACATAATTTAAATAAAACTCACCCTTTTCGTAAAACTGAGTCACAGCTTGAGAGGAACCAAAAAGTTTGAACAAAAACCAAAGCAGTGCGTCTGATAGATGCCTAACAGATGTTGAAGATAACTCTACATCTTCTTTTGTGGATGTCTGGAGATATGCCAGGACTCCATCAACTAATACCTCAAGGTCAGCAACTTGGTTTTGAATTACACACAAAAGTTGCAAGACTCCATCTTCAACTGAAGTGGCCTTCCCAGAGATCTTCCCATCAGCTGACAATTTGTCCTGGGAAATGGAAGCTTCTGAGCCTAGCACTCCTTGTTTATCAGTAGAACATTGATTGAGGCATTCCAACAGACACAGGAGTAACTCTTTCTCAGTTACCAATTTATCAGTCAAAGTGACTGGTGTTGAACTGCTGCTGCTACCATTGGTTGGCACACCTTGCAATTCAGTGGAATTCTGTCCTTGATTACTTTCAGCAATAACATCTACCACTGTTTGATTTCTGTTGTTGCCAAGAGGCTTCACTGGAGAGTTCTGTAATATCTGGATGATTAAACTAAGTAGCTGAAGAAGCCATGCACTATTATCCAGCTTGTCAGCACTCACTCCATTCGGAGCTGAGGCAAGGACATCAGTGGAAGGAAGAAGACTAATGCCCCTCTTGTGGGTGAGGTGATTCAAAGAAAGTTCTGCAGTAGCTTTTGCAAGTCGTATCACAACACTAGGCTCTACTTGATGCCATACAGCATTTGCGTTTCCTGCTAATAAGTCAATGACCGGTTCCATCTGCAGTACTGCCTGTCTATTGGCGAGTCTGCAATGTATAGAAAGAAAACAGTTACGTAGCTTCTTCAGTGCAATTGCTCAGGTTAAAGTGGTCCTCAAAATGACTGCTGTTGGAAGCTGACATTTCAGTATTCAGAACAGAAGTCGTCTTTGGAGCCAAGTGATGTTCTTGACTCTGGAGCTGACTTCTGTTCAGCTTGTTAAAACCTCAGTCACCAAAACTCTAATATGGATGATCAAAACAATTTCTTTCCCTAAGGAGGTAGACTATTCAGATTGCTATTTGAATCTGTTTTTCATGGAATGCTCTTGGAAGTTACTCTAGTATCTTGCCATCTTGCCATCGGAGTTTTATCCCAGCAACAATAAAAGTCCACGCAAACTGGATTGCCTAAATTGGGCAGAAGATTGGCTAAAAGGAATCCTACTGAATCTTAACACTCAATGGCAAGGGTAAGATCTGTCAATGAGCATCAGCTCTAGGAGTGAATGTAGAGCTTGGGACATGATAAAATTAAAAATAGCCAAGGTACTCTACGTTTTACACGTTTCACAACGTAAAGTGTTCTATGTTTGAATCTTCAGGGCTTACACAACATTTGTAGACTCACAAACAGCTATGAAGCCAAAATAGAGAACATTACTCATTCATGTACTGTAGACATGAATATACATTTCTGAGCTCAGGTTTTGGCCTTGGTTGTCTTAGCGCACCACGATCCTCTCTACCACCAGGCTAGGGTTTGAACCTGGACCACTTGATCTGGAGTTCTGTAAGCTAACCATTTGACCACCACGCATTGCATTAACCTTACCCTTCATTTGAAGTATATGCATAAACATTAATTCAAAAGGCCAATACGACAAAAGCAAAAGAACAGTACCTTCCTGTACAAAGTTCAAGTATCGTCCGAAGCAACAGCTCTTGGAATACCTGGGAAAGTGTTGCATCATTGTGGCCCTGTACAGCAGACTGTAAAGAAGTCAGAAATGCTTTAACTGGTTTGGAATTGGGTGAGATAGGATGTGATCCAAATGATGGCATCTGCAATAGTAGCCGAACTAAAAATTTGAGAAGATTTTCATTACTAAGAAACGCCTGAAGTTTGGGGTTAGCACAGTTCATCAACTGCCCTTCACACAAAACTGTAAGGACTTGTATGCAATGTTGCTGGGTTTGTGGAGATGTTCCTGGCTGGTTCACTACGTGTGACATTAAATTTCTCAGTGATGCTGTATCAAGTTGCAAGCTGCTACAACATAGTCGAATCTTTAGCCACAACTGCAGAAGAGATGGGATATCTACATCTGGACTGTTGCAGTCTTTAAAGATCTCACTAAATGCTGCCTGCAGTGTCTCTTCTACTAAGGAGCCATTCATATTTCTAGACAGAGTCCTTCTTGGCTGCTCAGTGGTCCCTTTCGAGGATGGCATCGTGGTACTCAATGCCTTTGCAATAGCATCCACTTGGAGAAGCTCTAACATCTTAAGATCTTGTTCTGCTTCCATCTCAACACCAAGTTCTAGCCGCATGTCAATGGCAGATGAAAGTTTTACTGGAGGTGGACCGATTTTTGGTTCCCATGAAGATGGCATTACTGGCTTCTCATGCACTGGTGTTGGCTGTGGCATCTCATTGCTATTACCAATGTCACCTAACTCTCCCATCCAACCTGGGGCCTGAAGTTCTCCCTCAGAAGGCAAGTCATAATCCGGATATAAATCATACGAACTAACATATTCCAAATCAGCTAGAAGAATACTCTTTTCCTTAGCTTCCATGATGCTTGTCACAGGTGGACTTTCTGTGCCATTTTTTGGAACTGCAGGAGTTTGTGCGGTTCCATTCTTTGGAGTATCACATGATTTGCTTCCTTGTCCACCTAGGCAGACATAACAACAGTTACTAATAATTATAATAACTATGAGCACACAGGAGCCAGACACTTTTTACAGCACAAGTTTACTTTATGGGATGCACAATTCAGCAGTAAAATCTGCAATGGCTCAGTGTCACACAGACTACTGGGGCATATGCTGGTTTCCATTGTAGCAAGCAACTAACAAATCTACTCCCTCTGCATTATATAGCATTAAGACAGGGTCACCACTGAACATTAAAATTGCTGAGATCCATTTATACACCCAGGTGGATGGAGGAAGCGCACTGCATGGCATGAACCTAGACTACTTGATTTAGAAAGGATGCACAATCAGGCCACCACATGTGCAACTATAGTTCAACACATAATGTGCTAATAATTTCAAATCATCCTTGCACTGTAGACATTCTCAGCGAAATACAATCACGCTTGAGGTTATTCCCTCATTTAGGAATTAGAATGAAAATCAGCATTACGAATCATCAGTCAATCCTGTTACCCATACCTTGAAGAAGATCCTGTAAAAGAGATGTCAGGGAATGAGAAGCCCAGGGCCCTCCCCAGTGGGCGGTGTGAGTTCCACTTGGCATTATACACATCCTCATAAGCTGCTCCAGCTGACTGTCTGTCACTACATCGGCAAGACAAATGGATGGTTCACTTACACACGACAGGTGAGCTACAACCTGGAAAAGCAAGTAAGAGCAGCAAAAACATGAAAATTAGATGAGAGATCTTTTGATAATGATAAAACAAAACATCTTGATTGGCAAGATTTCAAATGTATGCTTTGGTTGAATGGCTAATTCTTTAGAAACCTAAAACAGTTATGACATAACATTACCTTTTTTTGGCCCTGGTTTCTCACAATGGAATAATGGCTATTTTACAGTATGTAATCTGATACAAACACTACTGTTTGTATTTATTATACTCCCTGTTACTTCTGAAAAGAAATGCCAGCCACCATAATTTGGCATCACTGCGTACACGTAATTTTGAAAAAAAAAATCCTTATTTCCCAATCCAAAGCAAAAATGGTTAAAACATACGCAGTGCACGCTGCCCAAAATGCAGTTTTTACCTCACCTTGCATGCAACCAAAAACAACTCAACACTGCAGGTGGAGTTCATGCTCAGAATAAAGCTGATCATTTTCCGCATGACAGGAACTGTGGTGTTTGCTGGAAGAGGAGTGCTTGTTGAAAACACTGTTGGCTGAGATGTTGTCCTTTCAGGTTGTGGTTTTCCTTCATCAACAAGACGACGCAGTTTGGGCAAGCCCTTCATGTGCTAATAAACAATTGCAATATATGAGTAAGGTCAAACTTATTCAAGGCACCAGCTATACCACACCCAGTCAAAAAGCCAGTTGTCTTACCTACCCTTGACAAACAAAATACAGTATACTTAACTGAAGATCAGTGTGCCACTATACCAGTATAGTACAATGTAATACTACCAGAACATTTGGAGCACTACTTTTGAAATTCAGTAAATCTCTTCGTTGCCAAATGTTTGTGATAATCAAATGGGTTACCTCAATTTCTTTAGGCAACTGTTTTTTTTCTTTTAGGCAACTGGTGATTTACAGCACTATGTTACAACAACAACAACAACAACAAAAACAATAACAACACACACACATACCCCACATGTAATTCTGCACTGTGGTTGATAAGACTTAAGTTTGCCTCCTGAAATGTTTTCACACTAGTTATCTAAATCTCTCTGTTTATAAGCACACTCAAAAACCCAAATAAACAAACAAACAAACAAACAAACAAGCAGACAACCAGTTAAAAAAAAACAAACGAATCAAAACATTACATTTCTTTCCAGAGACATCTTCAGTACCTTGTAGGGTTGCTTTCCATTTCCCTTCGTTAGGCTCTGCTGTGATGGAGAATAATCTGATTGTGGTTTCATTGCTGGTGGCTTTTTTGGAAATACACACTTGCTCATTTTCATGTGCTTCTGCCAACGAGAGAAACTGTTATCACTGCTTTGGCCAGCTGGCTGAGTTGCTGGCATTGGAAGCATGAAGTCCCATCTACTTCGTTTGCAGGATTTATTACTTTTTGCAGGCTTGGATGACCTGCTCTTACTTGAAGTAGGGGTGGATGTACCACCATTTTTGTCATTTGAACCTTTGGAATTGTCTCCATTTTCAGCTAAAAGAAACAGAAAAAAACCGGATTAGAATGGCCTCCTATGAAAGGCTTATGTGGCTTCACATCAAGAATGTGGTAATAATTACTCCTCAGAAAAGTTGAATATTGGACAATAGCCCTTTTTACGGTTAATTTTTCTCATTCGCATTACAATGTAATCCAATGTGTATGCGAGGCAATTTCGGGTTAAAACTACAAAATAGCCCGAAATTGCCTCACATACACGCTAGATTTTATTGTCATGCAAACGAGCAAAGGTAACCATGAAAAGGGCTATTGCAACAAAAGCCTTTACTTAAGATGTTAACTACTTGATATGTAGGTATGTAAATAAACTGCACAACCATTTGGCAGTAAATGGCACTAGGTTGCAGGGTGCACCCTGGCATAAAATAGGGTGGAAGCAACACACCCATTAACCCTGCAAAGCAAAGCTAAAGGGGTGGCAGCAACACACCCTGCAAGTAAGGATGTTCTAACAAGTGCAGTGAAAAGCACACCTGGTGAATAACGTGTAAAACTTAAGGAGATGTGAAGTCATAAGAGTGGCACATGTCACATCTAGTGACTAATGCTAAGGAGGGGTCAGGGTCCCACCCAGCCTGCTACGTGCAAGGCTAAGTAGCAGTGTGCACCCATACCTGTAGTACAGCGTTTTCCAATAAAGGAAGGGTGAGGTGGAAAAGGCAGAATACAGTGGGCTGGATTACTAATTGTCACGCACATGGCAATGCAAGGTGCTGTGCTCTTTCAGGCCAATGGAGACCAAAATCAGTTCAAAAAACTAGGGGTTGAAAAGAGCCTAGTTTGAGATAATCAGCAGTAAATAACTAGAAAAACAAGGGCAAATCCAAGTGAAATGAGACTGAGTTAGCAATAGCAGGAAGTTATAACGGCAAAGTCTTCCTCAAAAAATGCTGGTGGTAATCTGGCAATGAACTAGCCTTACCTCAAAGAGAAATTACCAATACTCCTCTTCTTCCCTTCATGCTACCAAAACAGGAGGTGACTTCTGACCTAATGGGCCACTAGGCTCAAACACGGGCTTGACCTGTATAAGTACTCTAACATTGTAACTAACCTGTTCCAGATGAAGTAGGTTCACATTGAACTATGCATGTGTCAAGAACATGTTGCAAGAGGAGTAAAAGCCAGCCAACCAATGTCAAGTCCACTGACTCCAAATCTACTTTGAGGTTCTTTAGTAGCAGAAGTCCATCCAAGAGGCTCAGAAAACTTGCGAGCACTGATTCAAGAGAAGGAGATTGCTGGCTCAAACTCACAAGTACTGCGAACAACCTAAAAATGCAGAACATGGTCAACTCACACGCATTTCACATTGCATTTTGCTGTAAGAACACTCTTCTTACCAAAGGTGCATATGTAAGTAATTATCACAACAAACTTTCTGATAGTAAATATGTTTAGCTACTACGGATGTAAAGAAACACCAAGGAAAGTTCCATACCTTTCTTGTGGGAAGGTGCACTTCTGGTCAGAAGAAAAGAACTCTTTCAGGACACTGGACAAAAATTCACCCCACCAAGGTTTACTTCCACAGGCATTCAGGAGAAGAGCACCAACTCTCTCACGCTTCTGAGGGGAGCCACGTACACACAGATTTCGGAAAAGGTTTTCACACATCACTGGGGTGACTTGACTTAGCCATGGTTGCCACTCGAGTGCTAGTTTAGGTTTTGCCAGATAACCATCTAAAGAAGGCCCAACACCCATCAGTACCACCACAGTGTCAATTAAACAGTTGCAAATCACCTGTAGGTTATCATATTTAGCTTCGTCTAGGGAGAAAACTACACTGCTACTCTCTGCATTTGAAGTAAGTCTGTTAATGGATTGCTCTACAAGGTTAAGCTGACGCTGCAGGTTCATACATTGGTTGTAAGCTTTGTGGACCTTCTTTTCTTCCTCAGTAAGAGATGCACCTTTAACAGTGACACCCATCCTGGGATTCTTTGGCTCAGATGATTGTAGCAGGATTCGAAGCTGGGTGCAAGCCAAATTGTAGTGACAATGGATGTCTTCCAGAAGATTTTGCAGTATAGGTAAACACTGTTGGTCATTACAACCTGCATCTAGTAGCTGAGTTTCTCCATTTATTGAAGTCTGACCACACAATGGGTGACCATAGAATTCTCCAATCTTCACACGTGCCTTTGCATTTGTCTTGGGCCTTCCTACCACAGTCAACTATGTTTTAAGAAATTAGTGAAAAATGTTAGTGAATAATTGGCAGACAAAAGCAAATTGTGGATAGAAAACTACTCTGTTAGAATGTTATTCAGGCATTATTATTATTATTCCTAGTGAAAAGAGATGTTCAACTGACTGTTTGATAATTTCCAACCATATCTTTGAAACAACGGAAAGTATCTTTATAACTTTGTTTAGTCTGATCACAGTAATAAATACTAGTTGTTGAAGTTCACTTGCCTTGACATATCGGCACACAGGGGGAGGTAAAAGGTCCTTGAGGACACAGGCACAAAGGTTAATGTCTGACACCACCGCAACCCTCTGAACATCTGGATCATCCCACAGAGTCCAAACATCAACAGACAATGACATTATGTCGGAGCACTGAGGAATCAGCACATCTGTCAACTGGACAACACAGCCAAAGTCTAGAATGACATGATGACGAGCACCTGCATGAAGACGGTCAATCACCAGCATCTGAGGTTGAGGGGGCTATGGTAAGAGAAACAGAATGAACCAATACAATAATTTTTTTATTCTTCGCTTCTATTACTGACTTTTTTAAACTCATTTATAGCTACAATTGTAGGTCTCCCCTGTTATTAGAGTGTTTTCCCCTGGGTAAGCTTTTCAGATGCATTAGTAAGTTATCATAATTATAAAATATAACTTCAGCTTTGAAGAAGTTGAGGAGGGTCCAGCCTTGATTAACAAGACCTTAAATAGATCTAGACCGATGTTATGTACCCATTTCCTTGTATCACATTGACTATTATACATTAACAGTCAGCAAGTTTCTTTCATAGCAGTGTATTCTCGTTTATTACCAACCTGCATAAGGTGCTGCTGGATTGGCTGAGAAGCAGGAACACCAGCTGCCCTCTCCTGTTTTTTGGTGGATGATGTTTGTTTCTTATGCTGTGCCAGGTTAATTAAAGTGCTAGTAGAAGACATAGGTGTTCCAGCAGGTGCAGGGAATGTTTGAGTGGTTGGTGGAGGGTTCCAGACATCTCCAGCTTTGTACAGAAACTTAGGAAACAGGGACAACATGGACAGATCTTCTAGTTCCTTCTTGTGTTTTTCTAGTTGCTGCTTGTGATGCTGCAGGCTGACTAGCTGCTGTTTGTGCTGCTGCATCACAAGAAAAATGCATTACTCACAAACAATTGTAAGTAGTAATATTCATTTGCAACTAAGTACACTGACATTCCACAATAGAAAAAAATCCTTGAAATCATGTTCTCAAACACATTAATAATTCATCACATTTAAACAACAGGAAATCGTAGCCATGATGGTTTGGATATCTGAACTTAATTACCCTAGATTTTTACGGTATATCTTAGTTTTGATTGAGAAGATTATCAAGCACTTAAGACCCCGTTGACTACATTACTAAACACTTCAAAGTTCGTCAAAAATACACCGCTGTGCGCCATATTTTCAACTTTCCTCTCAAGGTTTGAAAATGTGGCCAAACAAACAAACATTGATAGCTGTACTTACGTATTCAGCTAAAAAGAATAATACAGTCTTGTAAAGTTCTTGTCATTTACTGGGATGACAAGAGGAAGACTTTTTTCAGGTGTGGCCAGAAAAATTAAAAATTTAAGTACCCAAGGTGTATTTTCAATGGATTTGAGTGTACATAACGATTAATTTAAGATTCCCAAAATTCCTGGGAAAGAACTCTCCAACAAGCAAGGTAATATTAGGATGAAGGAAGAAAATTGATTTTCCCTAACCTCTAAAACAGCATTTTTGCACTACTCAGGGATTATGGAATTCCAAAAGATTTTTTAGTGCACATGTTTAAAAAAAACTTCTTTAGGCAGTTGATATACCCAGTGTTAGTGGAAAAGGTTATGAGAGCATTTTCCTTTACTTTTTGTTAATATTGCTATTGCTAAGATTCCAGGAGTTTCTCAGAAGAGCATAGAGCAGAGAGAACTCTCAAAAAGCCCCCGAAATCTCTAGAAGAAAATCTCAAAATTCTAGTGGTTTTCCAGGCATTTTAGCAATGATCAGTTCAATTACTGCATTATCAGGGCAACTCCTGTTATTACCTTTAACATCTGAAGTTCAACTTCCAGAGCAACCAGAGAATCAGTGACATTTGGCAGTGTTGGAGCCAATGTTGATGAAGAAGGCATTCCACCAGACATCATTGGAACAGCCACGGATGGCCCAGGAGGCCCCAAACTACCACCAGGTATTTGTTGGGTGTCACCTCTCTCCACTCGGGCACCATCACTAGTTGAACAGCACACAAAATGAAGGGGCTGAACTTCTAAGAGCCCTTGACAAGCCAGTGGGGAATTCACACCACTCCAAGACTCATGGTCAGAATTTCCTGAAGCAAGTGCTCCCTTAACAGCCAAAGATAGTCCACTTAGACCATTGACAACTGGTGGGCTCTGTGGGTTGGTGGGGGGTTGAGGTACAGCATCAAAGAGAACAGGATCTAAAGGGCATCCATACAGACCATATCTAAAGAAATAGCAAACATGGTATTAAAATGAGACAGGAATGCACTACTGCTACTCAGGTTTAGCAGTTTTCAATTGCGTTTTGAAAGAAAGTAATATAGAATTGCTTTGGCTTTACTTTGCTATGCTCTGGGCTGGTTCAAAAACCCACACTACAAATGTAGTTAACCAATCACATGCAAAACAAAACCAACCACTATAACTCAGCATTTGATATCAAAGCACCGAACAAGGTTATGTGAGAGAACTAGTTTGTATATTTGAATGATATGAGCAGTGCATGCAAAAAAGTTGTATGCAAAAGATATTGTACCCTCTAAGTTGGCCTTAACATACACCAGTCAGTCAAAGTAGTCTTGTAGTTTGTTTGGTTCTTACTTGTGATCAATCAGAGCAACAGATGTATAGATGATGTCAATACCATTCTTATTTGTTCCTTTGTTATATAAAACAAGTGGATTCCGTGCTGCCATGTGACTGTTCAGTAGCAGATCACAGAAGACGTCAAAATGTGGTAAGAACATCAGTGATACACTTGACTATCGCTTGCGTGACATGTTTTTGTTCTTCCCACACTTTGATGTCATCTGTTATCTATTACTGAGCAGGTGCACGCCAACATGGGATCTATTTGTTAACTAGACAACAGAATCAGAAATTTGCCAGATGCTGCAATGGCATTTCCCAAAAGCAACACTTTATCCCTCAACTTGTCCTTTCAAAAGAGTGCCCTGTGAAAGCACAAAGATCAGAAGAGTTGACAGCATCGTAGACAAACACAATCTCAGACCTTCAACTCATGTTTATTTAGCAATAATAGCAATAACCTTTCTAACCTTGCTCTTAAAAACAGATGCTCTCGAAGTCTTACAGTGGCAAGCCTTGATGATAAAAGTTCCAGCAATTCTAGGCACACAAAGCTGGTGAGAGTGGAATCTGCCTGAGCTGCAAATCCAGTTAGTAATTTAAACAGCCACTGAACTGCTCCAGAAGATACAGCACATGGTGTTGCTTGCAGGACATCCAGGATCGCATCTAGAAGAGATCTTCTAAATGATGATGTTGAGTCAGAGGAGGTCCTCTGGCCAGCAGCTTTCCTAGAAGACAACAGATGATATAAATTCCACAATTTCTAACCACAAATAGGTTAAGCCAGCTTCAGGACAAATCATGCCATCTTACATGTACTTTTATTTCTGTACCACTAAGTGACTACAAGTATGTTTTCTACTCCTGTATGGAATTCTACAATGTACCGGTAGTCCATTTAGAGGATTTCTACTGGTACTCATTTATGCACCTGGGTGGTGAAAGACACTGTGAGTGTAAAGTGTCTTGCACCCAGAACATGATACAACGACCCATGCCAAAGCTTGCAGCCTGATGCTCAATGCAGTGAATTGCTAATATTAGTGAAATTTCACAGAGATCACACTTCAGAACCTTGTGCATTGAGTTTAGAATGGACCATTACAGTTGCACTGGGAAGGAAGGGAGAGATTTAAGAAGGTTATCAGCTGTTATGTTAACCTTGCAAGCCTGAAGTGATACTATGATGTACTAACCTGAAGTTTCTTCTCACTACCCCCAATTATTGTCTACTAACATGACTGAATAATTCACAATTAAATACAAATTAATACAATAACTTTTGCACATCTCTTACAATACTTCTGCAATATGGAAATCCCCCCAAAATCCCCCCAAAAATGTCACTTGCCCATCGGGCAAGCAAAGGACAGAATCTATTAGCCCAGCTGCAAAATCCAGTAGCCTGGCTCCTGGACACAACTATCTTTGTAAAGTGAACTCAGCTACAGTAATCGCATTGTAAAACATGGACTATACCTGCCACACATCATCAAAAGTCTGCTACACTTGTGAGCAATGCTTCGTCCACAAGACAGAAAACATATCTGAATCAACTTGGGTAAATGGGTCTCCACCTCCTGTACCAAGCTGTTGTTCCTGTTAAGATGTCAGAATAAACTGTCAACATTCACTTTATCCTGCCCCTCAGAAAGTCATTGGGGACATTAACAAATAGAATCACAAAAGTGATGCAGAGGACATTGTTAAATATATGACTCATGTTGCACTAAAGAACTTT